CGAGAGAGGGAACACAAGCAGGGGGAGTGGGAGAGGGAGAAGCAGGCCTCCCGCGGAGAAGGGAGCCCGATGCGGGACTCGATCGATCCCAGGACCCTGGGATCATGACCTGAGCCGAAGGCAGACGTTTAACAACTGAGCCACCCAGGCGCCCTGAAGGAAGGAAGATCTTAAAGAAAAAAAGAATTATAATCTTTCCTGCAATTATCTATGAAAATTTATCTTCTTTTATATTTCTTCACTAATTTGTTTTTCAGGGAATTAGAAATTCTACTTTATGCTCAAAGTAAAACTATTTATACATTGTGTTGAGTTTTTTTTATAGCCTTCAGCTAGAAATTATCTCCAATAAAAGCACATTACATTGTGTTACATTTCTTTAAAGTTTTTTTGATCTTGATTTTCATTCAAGAACTACTAGGTATTTACCCAAAGAATACAAAAATACTAATTCAAAGGGATACATGTATCCCAGTATTTATAGCAGCATTATCTACAATAGCCAAATATGAAAACAACCCAAATGTCCATGGACTGATGAATGGATAAAGATGTGGTGTATTATTAAAAAAAAAAAAAAAATGTGAGGTATTTTATATACATTTATTTATACACACACACAGGAATATTACTCAGCCATAAAAAAGAATGAACTCTTGCCATTTGCAACGACATAGATGGAACTAGAGAATATTATGCTAAGCAAAGTAAGTCAATCAGAGAAAAACATACCATATGATTTCACTAATATGTGGAATTGAAGAAAGAAAACATGAGCAGAGGGGAAAAAGAGAGAGGCAAACCATAAGACACTCTTAACTATAGAGGAAAAAAACGATGGTTACCAGAGGGGAGGTGGGTGGGGGGATGGGTTAAATAGGCAATGGGGATTAAGGAGTGCACTTGTTGTGATGTGCACTGGGTATTGTATGGAAGTGTTGAATCATTAAATTGTATGCCTGAAACTCACATTACACTGTATGTTAACTAACTGGAATTTAAATAAAAACTTTTTTTTAAAAAGTGTATTTGTTTTAACTTAGCTGCATAATAACATCCTTTATAGATAATACCAAATGTCAGGTCTTTACATGGTTAAAATGTTCTTTTATATAAATTTTATAATCCCAAGAATTTCTGGGCTCATAGTCATTTTTTCCAAAATTGGTATATGATCTTTAACAGGTTTGAGATTTGATGTCGACAAAACACACTTTCATATAAAAATGGCTTGACAGTTCTTCCTTTCCAAAAATATTTGATCAAGGTTTCAAGAAAGCATTACTGTAGCCTATTCACTGATGATTTTTAGGGGGAAAAAACAACTTAAGTATTTAAAGCTATTACCATTCAAATATAATGCTCCCATGAATGTCCATTTAAGTTTTGCTAATAGTGGAAAAGGCACAGTGTCTTAAGATAGTGTGCTTGCAGTATATACTGGGTATTGGCAGCCTTTCAGAAATAAGAATTAAGTTGCTTACTTTCGAGTGGAATTGATCACCTCAGTAATTATTTACCCAAGGAAGGGCCCTGTCTTCAAAACACGTCTCCTTGTTCATTTGATAACATTTTTTTTTTTAGATATTTTTTTTTATTTTTTTATTTTTTTTAAAGATTTTATTTATTTATTTGAGAGAGAGAATGAGAGAGAGAGAGCACATGAGAGGGGGGAGGGTCAGAGGGAGAAGCAGACCCCCTGCTGAGCAAGGAGCCTGATATGGGACTCGATCCCGGGACTCCAGGATCATGACCTGAGCCGAAGGCAGTCGCTTAACCAACTGAGCCACCCAGGCGCCCTCATTTGATAACATTTACTCTATTTAAATGTCAGTCTTTGAAATTTGAGCTATTAATACTTTACTCCAAAAGAATGGAATCTTAGTTTGGGGAAGACAGTTGGAACTGAAATGAGTAATAGGAGTGAAAGTATGGCAGAAATTGAAAGGATGCTACATACAAAATGAATGTCCCTCCTGTTGTTTGAGTTACTAGTGAAATAAGCTGCACAATATGATGACATTTGTTGATATTTCAAGTTACCAAATTAAGGTATGTTTCCCAAGAGATTGGTAGGCAACTTCCCGGAAAACCTGGAAGAAAATGTTTTGATTTTGGGGCACCTGGGTGGCTCAGTTGGGCAACTGCCTTAGGCTCGGATCATGATCCCAGGATCCTGGGATCGAGCCCTGCATCGGGCTCCCTGCTCAGCGGGAAGCCTGCATCTCCCTCTCCCACTCCCCCTGCTTGTGTTCCCTCTCTCGCTCTCTCTCTGTCAAATAAATAAATAAAATCTTTTAAAAAAGATGTTTTAGTTTTGCTCACTTGATGTTAAGCAAAGTATTCTTAGTGAATAAAATTGCTTTCATTGATAGTAATATTTTTACTCCATGATATACTTTAGTAAATTGGAACAAGAAGATATTTTAGTGATAAAGTTATTGCGTGTAATTTTTTTTCTGTGCCTACTCAAAGAACAGGCTATTGTGGTTTCTAATCAGTATGAACAATTTCTTTCAAATTTAAGATTCAATTTGATTTACAGGTAAACAGTGTTGACCTCAGAACTGCCAGCCATGAGCAAGCAGCAGCCGCTTTGAAAAATGCTGGCCAAGCGGTCACAATTGTTGCGCAATATCGGCCTGAAGGTAATAAAATTCTTGCTGTCTGTGTTTGTTGTTTATTTGAGGTTTTAGAATTCTTCCTCTTAATAATGTTTAACTTTCCAAGCTTAACATTTTTATGTTTTGATCTCTTTTATTAATCTAGTGTTTGTTTAGTCTGAACCTACTTCACAATCCAGGTCAAAGTGTGTTCAGTAGGATGTAGGAATTTGAGTATTTCACTGTTAATTTGGATTAATTTTTAAGTGTTTATTTTTTAAAATCTGTCCTCTAACCAAACACATACCTTTACTAACTCAGTGATCCCAAAGGATCATAAAAACCATATGCAATGATAGCATTGCCAGAGAAAATTTGGTCATCCCAATTTTTTCTGACTTTTGAATTAGATTATGTTTGTTAATACCAAGATTTAAGATACGTTTATAATACCCTTTATTGCTGTTTAAAGAGAAAAAAATACAAGTTTGGTATGTAATGTGTTTCTAGATAGTGAAGTATCATGGACATGACCTAAGTTCCTAGGGGGGAAGAACGTGGTAATGGAAAACTTAAGATCATGCCATATTTAAACACAGGTAAAACTCTAGTGGTGTACATCAACATATCCACTTCTCCAGTAAAACTTCAGCAGCATATAAAAAGCGTAAACATCCAGAAGAATACGTAGCATACCGGCTAGTGTTCATAAACAACAAGGTGAAGAAGGAAAGAATGATGTGACTAAAGGAGTCAGTGAAACAGTTTCTAATTGAGCAACTGTTAAATTTATATTTGTTTCTTAGATTGGAATTTATTTTTGTAACAAAACCTAAAAAATTTTTTTAGCTAATCAAAGTAGCATGTAGGGCTTTCCTTGCTATTTCATAATACGTACAGTTGTAAACCTCAGCATTTTAGATCCATTAACTGAACAGAGGTAAATCCACTTACATAATGATAAATTCCAAATAAATTCACATTAACCAAACAAATAGAGACTAATATATGAAATCAGAATGCCAGTTTGTTAATTCAGTGAGAAATAAAACCTCCAATGGGGCCACGCATGCTTTTATCTTCTAGCCAACACATTCTTGCCCTATAGGTGTGCTGTATGGAAGCCAAGTTCTCAGTATTTACTAAGATACTGTCTTCTTAGTATTATAGAAGGGTTCTCATTTATATAGATGCATAAGGAATATAGACTATTTAGGTATGATTAAAGTAAGTCAATATCTGACCTCCCCCAGAAAACATACAAAAGCAACACGGAAAATAAAACATACACGCACTTCTACCAACAGAACTCCACCTCACATTAAGCAAAACTAAGATGACAGATATAAGACCTGGACAACAAAACATAGGCAAAGACTTGCTTATGCAGCTTGAGATCTGGCAGAAGCCACACAGAAAGAGGGAAGAGTAAAAATATGGAATGTTGAGAATTCTCAGTGGTGGCAGAACTTAGATTATGACAGAAAATTACTCTTTCTAAAGGTGAAGAGCTTCTTTTTGAGGTATAAAAACATCATCCTTTTGGTTTTGACAAGACTCATGACAATTGGAGTGAACATGCTAAAACAGAAGCCCTCCTTGATGTGGTTTGGTTTAGAGAAGTGGAGTAGTAGTATTTGGGTAAAAGAATCTGTCTGGATAGCATCAGATAATGTGACAGTCCTTTGGTTTCAAAGGCCATGAAGATACTGTGCTTCTATCCCTCCTGCACCCCTTAACTTTCTGGTTCAGCCAAATAGCTGGTCCAACTCATTCAGTAATAACTAGTTAAAAAGTAACTGTCCTGGCATTCATACAAAGATATTAAGAAGTGGAAACAAATAGCAAAGCTTGGCAACAAATAAAAGTTAGCCACACACACACAAAAACATTGGCATAGATCAGATGAAAATTTGATCTCAATATTTTCAACAGCTAATAGATTCATTTCTTTGAAAGAAGACCACTAAATAGAAGTTTAAGAACTGTATGGAAAAAATGGCTTCACAACCAAGACATTGATTTTGAGATAGCAGAACCCAGGAAAGAAAAAGAAAGCAATTTTTTAAATTGAACACGAAGACAAAGAGATACTGCAGAAATCAATAGAGGACATAGAGGATACAAGAGGAAAAATAAAATGAAACAAATAAGGAGAATTTTAAAAGATTAGAGAGAAAATATTAGCAATGGAAGACCGGCAAGAATGCATATGCAATACATAATTAGACTTTCTAAAAAAATTTTTTAAGAAGAGAATAAATGTTTGAAATTATACATTGAAGCAAACTTTACTGAATTAAAAAGAAGTGAATATTTCTATTAAAAGGACACAACATGCTAGGAAATTGAGTCAGAATCATCAGAATTCAGACATATTCTAGTTAATGTTTGCCAAGAAAGAATCTTCTGAGACCCAGGTAAAAATACTGAGTTATATTTAATAAGGAGTTAAAAATTTATTGATAGGAGGAAGAATTGCTCTAATGCTTGGTAAGCATAGACCAGAACAAGGATAGTTAACTTTACCATTTTTTATATTTAGCAGCTTTTAAATAATTCTAATTTACATCTGTATGCACTAGATACACTTGCCACTGATGGTTGGGAAGGGTAAGCTATCATTTTCCTAGGATAGTTATTGAATGGGCCCAAGAATCTTCCTTTCAGATTGTCTTTTTCTGTGCTTATACTGTTTTTCTTCTCTTTTGTTCTTTTTTTGAGATTTCTGTACTTTTATAAGAACCTTTCTAATTGATACTTTTTCTTCAGTTGTATTCAAAATTTAAACTCTTCTCTTGATGGAGCCATTTTTTTTTATCAAGGAGAATTTGCATTCTACTTTGATTATTAAAGTAGCTACTCTTTAGTAAGTGTTTCTGTTTCCAGTTTAGACCCTTATGTTGATTACTCTTATAGATGTATTCTTTTCCCCCAACATCTCCTGAGCACCAGACTTATTATGTATCTTATTTGATGTCACCAGCTGTATTTCTCCATAGTGTTTGCAACTGAGCATTCCTGAAACAATTATTTTACCATTTCAGTACATGGTACCTCCATTGATTCTTAAGCCAGAAGACCCAGAGCCCCTTTCTCAATCTCTGTGTATCCAGATACTTCCCTAACCAAAGCCACCATCCTTTCTTACCTAAACTATTCTGATAGCCTCTAACAAGTCTCATTATTTCTTTCTTGATTTTCTCCAATTCATTCTGTTCATCAAGCAAAGTGATCTTTTTAAATACAAAGATTGCATTGTGTCATTTCCCATTTAAAACATTTTTCATTAAATGCTGAATAAAATCTAAACCCTTTAATAGGACCTGCAAGGAAGGCTCTGTGTGATTGAGCACAGCACAACACATGTGATCACTGCATGCCTCTTCTCCTTCCTTTGCTCCTTAGGCTCTAACCATACAGGTCTTCTTTCAGACCCTTTACTGCATCATATACTATCCTAATTCTCTGATCATTCTGTACTTTCTTAGAGTGTTCTTTTTCCCTGTTCTTTGTATGGCTGGCTCTTTCTCATGATTCCGTTTCTGATAGCACTGTGGTATTTTTTCTTTATAACATTTAACACAGTTTATAATGAGATGTTTATTTAGGTGCCTGTTTGTTACTTATTTAAACCTTGCTCTAGAGCCTTATGAAATACATACAGATGTTGAGATAGATTCAGATAACAAAGCTAGTAATAGCTAGGATTCAGTCCCCGATCTATTACCTTCAAAATCTAGATACTTTTCACTGGGAATATTTTAATGAGTGCTTAGTCTGGCAATGTTGATGTTTACTGTATTCTTTTACCATAGCTATGGTACCATTGCCTAAGAAAAACATGGTAAGTACCAATAGAGCACAGAAGACAGCCTTTGCCTTAGGAATTCAAAAGAAAGTACTTCATGTTGCCTGGCATGAGAAAAGATACTATAGAGGGGCACCTGGGTGGCTCAGTCGGTTAAGCGTCTGCCTTTGGCTCGGGTCGTGATTCCAGAGTCCCAGGATTGAGTCCCACATAGGGCTCCCTGCTCCGCGGAAGCCTGCTTCTCCCTCTCCCACTCCCCCTGCTTGTGTTCCCTCTCGCTGTCTCTCTCTGTCAAATAAATAAATAAAATCTTTTAAAAAAAGAAAAGAAAAGCTACCATAGAATAAGATTGGGGCTTAACTGGAAACCTAAAGAATGGATAGGATTTAAATGGGCAGAGAGAAGAAATGACATCATAGGTTAAAAAAAACAGAGACCAAAAATAGAGTTAAAATTTAAAAGCATGTTTTGGGTACTTTGAAGACACCTGTCCTCCTTGCTGTATTGCTACTTACGTTGTTTGTTTATAAGGCAATGATGCTATATAGCTTTATGTTTCATTTTAATATAATATATTTTTAACAAATGTATTTTTGTTGTACAACATTTTTTAAAAATATATATATATATTCCACACCATCAGTGTGTAACTGCTATGAGGGCCAAGGATATAAGTTGAAAGCTCAGATTTTCTTTCTCAGTGAACTGGCCATTTTAAGAAGTATAAAAGCAGGGCGCCTGGGTGGCTCAGTTGGTTAAGCAACTGCCTTCGGCTCAGGTCATGATCCTGGAGTCCCAGGATGGAGTCCCGCATCGGGCTCCCTGCTCAGCAGGGAGGCTGCTTCTCCCTCTGACCCTCCCCCCCCCTCATGTGCTCTCTGTCTCTCTCTCAAATAAATAAATAAAATCTTTAAAAAAAAAAAAGTATAAAAGGAGTCACCTGACACTCTGCTAATCAGTCATCTCTGCAGTTAGTATCTTCACTTTACTAATGATAAATCCTTTGGGGATACTCTGCTTCATTGCTAATCTGACATATATGTATTCATACAAACAGGCAAAGAGGTAAGCTTTTTGGTAGGAGTAAGTTTTTATCTTTCAGGATCTATAGCTCTAATCAAACACGGGCACTGGAATTACTATGCTAGTGTTTGACTCTATTCAGAAGTTACAAAATTTTGACGAATAGTTTCTTATCTATAGTTCAAGAGCTTCCTATGGGTTGGGTAATAGA